TTATAACAGTAGTCACAGGGACTACGCTTTTTCTTTATTGTAAATGGAGATTGTTCTTACCAGCGTACTAGGGTATTTTGTATTGTGATAATTTGGCGTTGGGACATGTGGACAGTAAGATTTTAGAGATTTTTACTACAGTACCTTGCTTATACTAAATAAAAATAAGAATAAAATAAAATAAAAATTATTTATTTATTTATTTAAGTTAAGTTAGTAACATGACACCTTATAACTATGTTAGTATTAGGATTAGTTCTCAATCATAAAAATAATACCTAACAATTAGTTACAAATATAACAAACAGGACGAACCCAGCCACCCAGATGGTTCACTGACTCACATGTAGAACATGCAACTCAGTGAACCACCGGAACACAGATGCATCCATCTTGTCTGCTATCATCTTCAGGATCTCGTTGTTGTTACCCCTCACTCTTCGTACTAATGAAGTGGACATTTTGCGCATGATGGCATGGAAATCATCCATGCCAGCACCTGCAAACATGCTAGATGCGCTACAGAAATGGGGAAGCTTCAATAAGGCCCTGGTATTATAATACTGGACTCGCAAGGCACTATACGATCTCAGCGTACAGTTGGACCATAGAGCACATGTGTAGAAGCTTTGGTGTATGCTCTAAAGAGGGTGAGCTTCACTCCAGGCGTACACCTTGTGAATCTATGAGCCAACATATTGCCTCGAACTGACAACACCCTTAGGTCCTCTGTCACAATATGACCCAAGTACCTAAACTGTGCAACAAGCCTCAAAGGTACCCCATTTAAAATTGGTGGTACATAGGCTGGTTTTTTAATTTTATCCTTAAACAGCAAGAACTCACTCTTTTTCTTGTTGTACTTTTTGTTTTCGTGTTGCACAGCATAGGTCTCACAATGACATATAAGTCGTCTTATACCACTGATTAAAGGGCTGAGCAACACCATATTATCCGCATAGCTAATGTTATTAACGCTTGTGTTGTCAATACGGCATCCGACGTGCATGCTGTTCAGCTTCCCAATCAGGGTATTAACAAACAAATTAAAAAGTCTAGGCGAGGTTAATCCCCCTTGCCTAATGCCACAGCTCAAAACATACTCGTCAGATCGAGCATTTGCCCATTTTACTACATTCTTTTGATTATGGTATAGTATGGTATGTGAGAAAATACCAACTACTTCAGGTGATATGCCTGCTTTCTTCAATTTTGTCCAGAGCGTATCATATGATACTAGGTCAAGAGCTTTTGAAAGGTCTAAAAAGCAGGCATATACCAGGGTCTCGCTTTTGATATAGTAACATCATATAGAGACATTAGTGACATCAGTTTTCTGATGGGGATCGCCAACGGTAAGATTGATTGTCCGGAATTGTTGTCACACATAAACCTGCGCACAAACTTGTTACATTACAGATGTCGACCACCTCTGCAAGTGCCGTTTGCGAGCACTAATTATAGGCAAAATACGTACACGGTGCGTGCTTTGAGACTTTATAACAATGCGACAGTAAATCATTCTGAGTTTGATTTGTTTTGTTCAAGCATAGACACAGTCAGGCGTGAAATGACCAAACGTCACTTTGACACATCACGTGATTGGCGATGAATACACTGGTATATTCGTTTAATTCTTAGACTCTTTTTCTTTTACCATCCTCTAAGGTTTAAATTGTATATTAGAAAAGTAATTTTTATTTTGTTTTTAAATTTATTGACTGCGTTCTTTGTATTTTCCTGTAATCTCTTTTTGGCTTGCTAAGCACTGTATATTGTTTCATGTAGGTGGAAATTCGTAAATGGCATTGGATTACTCATATTTAAGTTTACTATAATTGTATTATTTGTCCGTGAATTTTCCTAAAATGTATAAATATAAATAAAAATAAATAAATAAAATAAAATAGTAATCAACAGCATATTTTAGTGACAAAATGGCAGTCTCGGTTGATAAACTCTCTTTAAAGCCGAATTGCGAGTCGTGTAATAGTATTTGGCCACTTAGGTGAACATCTAATATCCTGTCCAGAACTTTAGCTGACACTGTCGCTAGTGAGATTGGTCTATAGTTGGATTTATCAGCCACATCACCATTACGGTTCTTAACAAGCGGGATAACTACAGTTTTCATCAGAAAGCAAATGTCGCTAGACAGAAGGCTTGAAGGTCGCTAGTTGTCGCTATTTATGACATTATTTATACTCAAAACTTTTAATTTCCTAAGTGTGATGGGTGGGACACTCACGACACCCGCCTGTTTGAGTTGATGGCTTCATTGCCAAGATCAAGACTAACTATTAACATTTTGTTCAGCAAGTTTTTCATATGTGATAACTTGAATTTTAAAGTTTTATTTTATATATGTATACATTTAATTAATAATTTTGATAAATTTTAAGGAAATTAATATGCTAAGTTGTGACGGGTGGGACATGATTTTGTGACGGGTGGGACGAGATACAATTGAATACACAGAATTAATAAAATTACACTGTTTAATGTGAGATTCATCATTAGTAAGCAAACATTTTATAATTTTTGTCTTATTAAGATATTTTAACACAAAAAAAAAACAGAATTAAAGAACTGATAAAGTAATCCTATTATTTTTCTTGAAACACTATCTATGACGACATAAAATCAAAGTCACGCATGTAAAATGCATTAATAAATTTGAAAAATCCTGCCACATCTTTGAAGTCTCAGTATAATATGACAAATTTTTGAAATTTTGCTCGAATATATAGTTAAAACTAGTGGAGACAGACTCATGAATTTCCTGATACTAAAAATCATCAGGAAAAATGTTGTACGTTTGAAATGTCTTTTTTATGTGTTAAAATGTCTTAATTATGAGAAGAATTATAAAGAATTTGCTTATAAATGATGGATCTACATATATAAACAGCATATATTTTTAAAAATTCTATGTATTGAAATGTAACTTGTCCCATCTATCACTAAATGGTGTCCCTATAGTCACAATTTAATACAACAAATGTTAAACTCTGAAATTAAAGCAACTGTTATGTCTAGTAAACATCGTAAAAACTCGAATCCATGAAAATACAAACATTTAGTCAAAGTAAAAACGTTTAGAAGTGTGTCGCACCCATCGCTGTGACAGGTGGGACAGACTTCCAAATCTTAATATTTAAATTCCTATTTCCGCGCCCAACCAAGCCAAAATAATGACCCTTAGCACAATTGTTACTTTTACAAAAGCAAATGCCAATAGATTGCATATTTATTGGTTAAAATAAAAATATATGTACATATATGTTTCATTGTGACGGGTGGAACTTGAAATTAGTATTTATTGAAACTTTAATAACTGCTCACCATGTATATTTCCATGCAATCACTTATCACTGTTTTAAAATTCGGAAATTGCATTTTCTTCGACAGTAATAACTTTTTTAGAAAGTCGCATAAACAACCGCGAAAATTGTTGCTAACATTATAGGAAAAAATGCTTCACTATAGACGACAGGGCTATGGCTGTGTTAATGAGTATAAAAAAATACGATAATTGTACAATATCCGAAAAATCTCATTTATTTCCAATGATTTGATTTATTGGGCGTATTCTAGTCATACAATTAAAACCAAATTGTGTAATTTATTTTTTGAACCGCGGTGTCATTTTCGCTGGAAAGGCCCAAAAACTTTATGTTCATAGCACAGATTAAAAGACCTGGGGTCTGTCCGACATCCATCCGAAACAATAACTGTCAAATAAGGAATACTCGACCAAAGTCTACCATATTAGAAGACAAAGTTAAGTATGATGCGTCTTTCGTAAGCGTCTTTTAAATGGTTGAGTATTACCACAAAAATTGTTTCGGACACTGTAAGTGTTGGACTGAGAACGAGAGTACGGGGCCAGGTCCATATCTTTCAACTTAATTTTGATTATAGTGTCCCTCTCTATCAACCTCTTGATTCTAAGGGTCGTATTCTAGAAGTCTACTTAATGCTCAAGTCAGGATTTGAGCATGGTTTAAAGCACTCGAAATCGTACTTAAGTCCCTGCCATTAGGGTCGTATTTCCAGTGATTGAAATCATACTCAGATCCTGACTTGAGCATTCTTCTTCTCTCTCATCTTGAGTTCTGGAATACGACCCTAAGGGAATTTGTAGTGCTATAACCCGTGCAAGCAAGCCCGCACAGGGACCTTAAAAGTTTATTTCCCGAAGCCAGATCAGCCCATGGACAGAGTTGTCACGGTGCTGGACTTCATCTGGTGCTCAAAAGGCTAGCGCCTTGAGTGAGCGGCCCCGGAGATAGGTACCGGAGCTGTTGGCACGCTCACTTCCTATTGTGCATTGCACAACTAATGGTTGCTACCGTTAAGCCGTTGAATTAAAATTCGACTACCAACTCTCCGCGCTGGTGACGGAGCTATAGGCACTCGCACTTCTCGAGCGAGGCCGAAGTGTCTTCCAGTTCCCATTATTCCTATGGAACTGGATAGACCGGAGGATATGCAGCTTATCCTCTACTAGTTATCCGGAGTAGCACCGGAGATGTCAGTCGCAGTATCCTGCGACAG